AATCTGATATCCGACTGTTCTTTAAGTTTCTTTTTCAACGTTTCAGTTGTCGCGGATGCCTCGTCTTTGAGGTCGTCCTTTAGATTTGCGAGCTTCTTATCAAGGTAGTCTTTGAAAAGGGAGAACGTGTCTGCCAGGTTGGAGGGCTCTGAGTGGTCTTGGTTGTTCGTTGGAGCTAAGTTCGGCGCCACAGGATCTTGTTGGTCTGGCTCTCGAGCTTCGTCTTCCGATCGAAGCAAGTTGTCGACGTTGTCTGAAGGATCGGTCATATCCAGAGAAACCAGTTCGAAGTTGAAAACACGACGCGTTACGTCGTTGGACGCGAATGGTAACTTTTGCATAAATCTACCGTTTTATAGTCGCGTCCTACCCAACGATCCGTATCCAACGCGAACCTATTATTCCTGTTCGCTTGCTAAATAAACAATGTTAAATACATTTCCATGTGGTTCCAAAATTTATACATTAGCTACCGTTTTTTTGAGAAGCACGATAAATTATTAAATTTATAAAAATTTCAAAATTTCGGGATAAAGAAATGACAGCACATTTAAGAAACCACCAACCAACCAATGGGCAAACGACCCACCACTATGAGACCGACCAACCAACCGACCACTATCTGACCAACAAAGCAACCAACCAATCATGCAAACCACCCACCCACTCATCAACCGATTCACCAACCCACCCATCCACTAACCAACTCACCAACCAATCCACCATCCAACGAACTCATCAACTCACCAAACTACCTATCAACCATTTAAACTCACCAATCAACAAGACATCTACTATATCTGACCAACAAAACAACCACCTACCAATCAGCCAACCAACCAATCATGCAAACCACCCACGCACTCATCAACCGATTCACCGACCCACCCATCCACTAACCAACTCACCAACCAATCCACCATCCAACGAACTCATCAACTCACCAAACTACCTATCAACCATTTAAACTCACCAACCAACAAGCCATCTACTATATCTGACCAACAAAAAATTCACCAGTCAAAAAACAAACCAATCAACAAATCAAACAACATGTTTAATGAATCAATGATTTTAGGCTTTAGATAATATTAATTTTGCATTTCAAATGCTATAATTATTTACTTTGAATGCACTTGGAGTCATCGAAGATTCAGGTGTAGTCGGTTTGTCCTCAGGAAGAAAGCCAAACATTTCATCAACCTGAAACATCATCAAACGTGCTTCTATTACAATACTAATAGACTGTACATAGAGTTAATTGTACACGACAAATTCCCATTTTTCACATGAATGCACAGTAGTAACGCTAATTCAAGGTACTGTAATGTACTGCACTGTAATGCCCCTCTTCAAAAGAAGTAGGAGCATCCCTCAGATCTGATCAATGGGAGTAKGGGGGTCCTCACCGACAGCATTAGCAAGTATGCCCCATGTTCTGTGATATACTAGATGCTGATTGAGATTTCAAAATAGCAGAAAAGATTAATGGCGTTAAAGCAGCAAAAATTAGAGAATAGTATTAATCAGTTAGCCATCGTTATCATTTATCTGTCATTACACTTATTATAATTACATTACATTAATTATGATACGATTGCGATTATATATGATTGAAAGCAGCAAGCGTTAGGATAATTTACAGAGATATTGAATAGCACATACACGTAGAATATTAATTATTTATTCAACCTTTATCAATTATCAAGATTACCACTACCAACAGACGCAATTACAGTTACAGTTGCATTTATATCACAGTTACAGCAAACAATCAGACTAGACTACTTCAGGGCTTTGACAGGTTCGTTTGTGCACGCCAATTGCGACAAAATCATTCTTCGTTCTGATTGGCGCAGCCGCGGTGACCCACCCCATTAGTTAACGCTTCACCTTAAAAATACATTTGGCTACAGACCGAATTTAATGTCAACGTAACTGTCTGGCTTCTAGGAGTTTGCAAGCCCTATTTTCGATAATGGCAATTCGATTGAAGCTCATTTGTTATTGTCGTTGTTACCATACCAACCATATGCATTGCTTTAGTCAAATAATCCATCACGATATGTCAGATATCATTGTATATAGTGTATACAGTGAGATGAATGAAGAATAGAGTCGAATAGCAGACAGTTAAAATATAAAATTCCATTGTATTGTTATGTCGTCGATAAACATTCAGATCTTCAAAGAACTGTAAGATCRRTCTGACAAAAACGGTAACTTTCTCTTACCATTGCCACCACATAACATGGATTTTCCCGAAAAACCGTTTTTTCCTGAAGCACACCGACATGCTCTTCAATGACTCTACGTTCGTCGATGTAAGCCTCTTTACTCGGATTGTTCCCGGAAAGGTTTGATTCTCTTGTTTGAACGATAAGTCTATGATCAAACTGATTCGTACTTTGAGTTTCCCAAGGATAAGATAACGCCTCGGGTCTGGACTTATTCCTTTTACGATACACGGCTCGTTTGCCTGATTTCATCGTGAACTCGTGTTTACATTAAACTCAGAAAAAATCATGGTGAGGTTCCATGCAAAATGTAGTCACGCGAAAACATTATATCGTAGTTTACCTTTGACCCTTACTCCTTTATAATATTGAATTTCTGTAATGCTAGACAATAGAAATTGTGGTGATTATCCTTKTATTTATTTGCTTATCAGCGTTGGCTTTGGTTTCCCTATTTCCGGTACCGTAACACTCGTAAATCTCTGGCAAGGTGAAAAAGTTCTTTTTTGACGATATTGTGTCAAGGAAAAAAAACGTGTAAATCTGCAAGTGCTTGTATCTATTTTACTGCTATCAAATTRCAGCCMAAATCCTCATATTAACTAAAACGATGGTCATAAAGTTCAAGCATGAATTCCCATTGGGATTTTGAATAMCACGTCAAACGACTGGATGCTTTCATGTTTGACGCAAAGAAATTAATCCAAGGCTCGCGATGCAAGGGTTTCCTTTTTGAGAAATATAAAAATTAAGTTACCATTCTTTCGTCATCGACGTCTTCTTCTCTCCTTTCTCTTGCTTTTTTCTCAGCAAGTTCAATTTCATGTTTCTTTTTCTCAGCCTCTATCTTATGTTTCTCGATTTCTTCTCTTTCTTCTTGCTCAATTTTAGCCAATCTTTCCTGTAAGAACAATAAAGAACCAACCCATTTGATTATGCTGAAAACAAATAATTAAACAGACACACACAAAAAAAAAAAATAAATAAAAACAACAACAACAAACAAATCAACAAAAAAGGAAACAAGAGGCAGTAAGTGCAAACAGACCCAGGATATAAACATCTAATAAATATGGCTACCAATCGAGGTCTGACCAAATCAAAATATTGCAAGATCTTCAAGTTACTAAGAGCATTTTCTTGGCAGCATTGAGAATGTCGCAGGAACATCCTTCTTTTTTACCTTATGCAACCTCTCTGCCTGGGCTTTGCTCAATCTCTTTTCTTCTAATTTGTGTAGTCTTTCTGCTTCTTCTCGTTTAGCTTTCTGTGAATTATAAAAAAGAAATACAATTCCTCTCCATGAAACACACTACAGACAAAAATTAGTGGAAACGATTTGAGTTTCATACTTCAACTCTCAGACGATCAACGGTCTTTTTAGCCAAAACTTTGCGCATGCCTGATTGAATCTTGACGATACTGCGCATGCGTTCGTTGAAGTCTTTCCGAGCTAGGAAGCCACGACAGTAGGCTTGGAAGACACGCACACGATCACGAAGAGCACGGTACTTGGCAGAAGTAACTTTGGCGCGGTAGACAGCCTGTAGACGAGCGTAGCCATTTCTAATCTGAAACGAGCAATTATTATATATTATACTAACCTGTATTCATAGCTCACGCARTGAGTTGTGCTAGTAGTGTATTAGTACTGGTAAGTTCAAGTAGGAGAGAGCGAATTATTAAATCAATGGACGAATATTGGTTGGTTGATTAATTAATGAAAAAATGGCATGAACTGGACAAGGGAATATCSGAATAAATTAATTATCTTAGTACCTTCAGGTACTTGGCCCTTGCATGATGCCCRCGCCATACTCGCTGTATTAATAAGGCTCCTTGTTTCTGCTTAACGAAACGCTTCTTTGTCAAGAATCCACGCACGACTCTCTGGATAAGCACTGCTCGCTGAGTAAGAAGTCTGTCTCGTTGGTCTTCTAGTTCATGATCTTGGGCGTCCTAAAGCACGTAAAATCATCATGGGTAATGGAGAAACTACAATTTTTAGCTTATATGCGCATGACAATCTCTTGAGTTGATAAAGCTTTCAAAAGACATCGCTAGCCACCCCAGACAGCGATTCTGTTGTCTTATGAGAGAGGACTTGCTYACCCATCCTAAGAAACCCAGGGATTATGTTCTGTCCGTCGTGAGGAACAAGTGAGAGAAGAAGATTAACCTAGGTTCCTGGCGATACTGCCTACCTTGAGGAAGATTTTGTTTTTGCCGATCTGCCAGTCGCTTTTGCCAAGCAACGCCCTTGCWATTTCGTCTGTGGCTCTCTTCAACCCTTCGAAATCAATTGAGCTTGGTGGACTGCCTTTACCAAGCATGTAATATCTGTTCATGAATTCCTTGAATGTATGGCGGATGGGATAGCCAGCTTTACGAATTCTAAGATTATTTAAAATAAATGTTACACTGGAGTAGAGATTCTATTCTATTCTCACACCAGATCCTTCACAGTTTCCCAACATACGACCCAGACTTTGGGTCAACTTATGAGCCGCAAAAGAAAAAGAAAACAAAACAATATGCCGGAAACAATGCATGAAACAGAACAAATAATGGTGAAAAAAATTCAAAGGATAAACAGAAAATATCATACCTTATTGTTTCCATCATACCAGAGTAACGAAGTTGTCGGCAACACAAGACTCGATCAAACATCTAAGAATGAACACATTTCAATACATACAAGCATTACAAGAAGGCTGTCTTTAAAGAACAAAAAGAACAGTGGTGTTGGTTGATCACAGTACAAAGTATAGTCGCAATCTGGAACCAAGTCTGAATATGGGGAGATGTTCAAGGGGAGAAAGAATGAATCATATATCAAGTTCTCAAAGCTGTAAAACCTACTAAATTTATCGTTATGTACCAACTGGTCATTAAATAGTTCTTGCAAAATCAAGTGCACTCAAAACCGTTATAGTACTATAGCGTTCGGCTAAAAGCTAACGGTATTGCATTTAAAGAATTATGATTACCATTGGTTTCTTGTAGTCATTCGGTTTGATACACCGAACAAAGAACGGATGACAAGCCGAAAGAGTCTTCATTAACATGTCTAAAGATCTCTTGAACTGCTCTCCCAGTGTAGGAGCTCTCTTACGAGTTTCATCACCCTGTAATACAATAATGATATCATAAATAGATACAGGAAATTGAAATGTAGTCTGTCCTTTCACAAATTAACAATACACGAAAAATATAATAACATAACATAACATAACATAACATAACATAACATAACATAACATAACATAACATAATATAGCATAGCATAGCATAGCATAGCATAGCATAGCATAGCATAGCATAACATAACATAACATAATATAGCATAGCATAGCATAGCATAGCATAGCATAGCATAGCATAGCATAGCATAGCATAGCATAGCATAGCATAGCATAGCATACCATAACATAACATAACATAACATAACATAACATAACATAACATAACACAACATAACATAACATAACATAACATAACATAACATAACATAACATAACATAACGAGTACTTACCATGGACCGTTCTTTTGCGAATATTTCCAACAGAAACGGAGATTTGCTTTTGCCAATAAGATTAACCAGATCGGCACTAAAGGTATCGCGGTTCTTTTCAAGGAAACCTTAAGGRAYAATCAATAACATAAAGGAAAGACTCAAAACAGAACGGTGAATTAGAGTTGTGATGATTACAGTTAAGTGAGACAGTTSGATTGCTATACCGGTCACGTAAGRCGTTAAGGTGTTGGGCAAGCAATAATTCAGTTACACCATGAGAACCYGAAGMCATKTAATAGCGTCATTACCTTTTGAATCATAGAATACCGTCCCAGCAAAGTGTTTGATTCCAAACACTCTGTCCGTATTATTCTTGGGAGGAACGTAGAGGCCATTCTTCTTGTGATTTGACTGGAGTTTTTGCAGAAATGTTACATCGGTTCCCTTTAACAAAAAATGTCTAATTAATATAATTAAATTTTYATTCCTATTTCGTCCCTTTTTTCGAAAAGAATCACTGTTTTACGTATGTCCTTGGCTTCMAACGCAACTGGCTGTAAATGCATTTTAGACCCCTCCCCCCTCTAAAACATACCTGTGAACACCCASAATCTTTGAATTGAATCTCCCGAAATAAGTTTATCGACTTCCGTACACGTACTATCATAAGCAAACCCTTATCATGGACATATCATCAGTATCACAGTCTAATTCTTGTTACATAAACTAGTTATTACCCTTGGAAATCTGCTTTCTTCGTTAACAATGGCGACTACGTTCATGGACTTTTGTGCCAGTAAATCTAAAATATTTTGATTATCGATGAACGAAATGTGCTGCCACTTGATATGCTCTTTGTCGTACTCTTCCTGTTGCATGAAAGAATAATGAATGACATCATAACATCTACTAACCATGTTCAAATCTGCCCTCTCCGTGGCCTTAGAGAATCCGCTATCAGTCAACCCACTAACCAATCGATTCAATAATCAATCAATCTATCTATCAATATAACATAACATTGAATCTTCCGGTTAAAAATACCGATCAACAGAAAAATGAATAAATACAATCGTCAACYTCAAATTGGACCAAAAATCACATTTGGCAGGGTTTAAAATAGTCTTTCAGAAATGTCTGAAATTTGCAGCCTTGGGTGTGGCTCATTTTTTTGCAGGCCACATACAAGATAATTTTAATCAAAAAAGTTGATCTTCGTTCACTTAGCACGCGTGTTTCTCAGAAAGCAAGAAAACACCAGGCAAAAAAAATATGCATTTGAGAGCGAAGCAGAAAGAAATTACATGTGCGTACTTCAATATCTTGTGTTTTCATAAACCAACAACGGACAGCGTTTTGTGCGTTTTAGATAGCTTGTAGATTAATGATAGAAATTTATTAATGAAAATAGTTTTATTTCAGACAAATTTTGTCCATTTATTTATTTTTCCTTTGATGACGAAAAAATCGCTGGGTGCATGCTATTTTGAGCCCTGTTCGGTAGTTTACTAAAAGGGTATACGGAATTCTCGCCTTGACAGCAACAATGCTTTTAATTTCCCAAAGTAATAATAAYAACTAAGTTGACAACTGATCTTGGGAAATCAGTGAACTATAACCCTGTTGGCCATACCTGTTCTAATTTAAAGATGTGTCGAACAAAAAACTGCTGGAGGTTTTCATTGGCGTAGTTAATACAAAGCTGCTCAAAACTAGCAACAAAAATGTCACACCAAAATTAATATGAAAGAACTCAAGAGCATCGGGCAAATTGTTYACGGTATAGGAACTAATGCTCCAGCAATACCTGTTGTGGTCRAAGTTTTCAAAGCCAAATATATCAAGAACACCAAAGCACATTCGTATGGCGTTGGGATTTTCCTTAAAAAGAGAATAGAAATAATTATAAATATTAAAATAATTTACAGTCTGCTGGTAAAATATGGAATATCATGCAGCAGATTTTTAACATTTAAACTATTCAAGTCTCAAACCTTTGGTTGAAAGATTGCTTTATTGATCTTATTTACAATCCATATGAAGATTCTACCATAAATGCCCTTAACAAATGCGTCACGGAYATCTTTGGCTTTCTCGACAGAAATAGGAGAGAAGATCATCTCTCCGTGAGCGAAGGTGGACTTGCTGGTGAAAGCATCGTTCAAAAGACTGTATGGAACCTGTATTGAGATGAAAAGGATAAAAATCAGTACAAACGATAGATAAAGGTACAAATTCTTTCTGTAAGGTAACACACACACCTCGAGTAGATTGGACACGGTTCTTCCTATTTCCTCATCACTAATATCGCAGCCTTCTACAGTACTCTTGATCATACCTATAAATTATTTAAAGCGATAAAATCCKCTTATTGACCACTTTTGAAGATGCATGTTTATTCATTAGTAGATGATTATATCATTACCTTCGAACTCAAGATTTCCAATATGTAAAATTGCAGCTAAAAGTTTGAAGATGGCATCGGCCTCTGAGCTGGTGAACAGTAGGACCTAGAGCGATCAGAAGGTGATTAGTGAAGAATGGTGCATTGATAATAATCATGATAATGAAAACAAGCGAATCCAAAGTGAAAGTTGAGTAGYCAATGTAATTTTATCATAACTGTCATATGCATTTCTATTTGAAGTCTTTATTGGTCGAATTATTAACATACCTTCATAGCAGCTTTGATAATAAGAAATTCTTCAGCATCATCCATGCCATCACATGTTATACAGCTGCCCTGCGTTAGGTAGTAATAGTCAGATGCCTCTGTCAGGTGCAAGGACTTCTTTTCTTGGTCTGACATACCAGCCAGCATTCTGTAGAAAATATGGTAATTCCGCTCATCCCTCATCTGGAAAGAAGACGTAAAGACGCAAGAATTCATAACGATTACGCATTGGTAAAACGACGTATGTGCAGGTATAAATACAATATTTACAAATACAATATTTACAAATAAAATATTTGGGCGTGGTCATGGCAAATATGGGGACACTAAACTGGGTGATCATTAAAAAAGATAGATACCTGATTGACAATTCGTGATTTCTCCAGAAGATACTGTTCAATCTTTGCGCCTTCAATAGCTCCAGATTTCTCAAAATGAACGTCGATATACTTGCCAAATCTACTAGAATTGTCATTTCTTATTGTCTTAGCATTTCCAAAAGCTAAAATGAATCACAAAATAATACGAATCAGCCCACGTATACAAACAAGTCTAGCAACTAACCAATCCACAGGTAACCATAAAACTCTGACAAATAAGTGTTAACTTGCTAGAAGCAATCCCGCGCATCAACAATACTCGTCTCTACATGTGTGATATCCGTTGGATTCTGTAAGTTCTCAACTATATCTCTAACATCACCTCACTTTGGACAAGCCTACGCCGTAAATATTCCTAAACACAACCCACAACTTCTGGACAGCGGCTTACATCGAACCCAACACTACATAACCATTACGATTGAACAAACTCAATTATCAAACTAGTATACGGACCAATAAGCTTATCAACTGAAGTTAAAAAGTCTAGTCATTTCTAACTCGCAAATAAGATGTATTGAAATGTGGGCATAAACGTGGGCGGCTTAAYTAATATAACTGATAATCACCTTCTAAAATAGGATTTGCTTCAAGAATTTGCTGTTCTATCCAAGAATGCCTGCCACTGACAGCTGCCAAGTACTGAAGTATGAGCTTTGTTGATTCAGTTTTTCCAGCACCACTCTCTCCACTGAAGTTATAAAAAAGGACACGATGGGTATCGTCAAGCCTAACACTTTAACTTTAAATGGTTTGCTGGCTCAACATTTTCATACTTGAATGAAAGAGTAGTGACTTTTTTGAAGTAGAGTTTTAGTAACGTTTTTTTACGAGCAGAACTTTTATAGCATGGCTCAAAACAATGAATATATTTTTACCTTATAATTACACACTGGTCATGTTGTTCTCGTTTCATGAAGTTATATGCATTATCAGCAATGGCAAATATATGTGGTGGAAGCTCCCCTAGTTTTCTATTTTGGTATTTTTTGATATACTCAGCATCATATATTGGATACAGTTGATAAGGATTGACAGCAACTAAGATGGAGCCAGTATATGTCTAAAAAATACAAAGAAGAAAGGATTGGAACTAGTAACTTGCATATGATGARGGCCTTGTTCCAAGGATACATGTAGCTTGAGACAGCACCCAGAGAGAAGGAAAGCAAGGAATTTGAAATTTTAATATAATAATAGTAACACTGCCACTAGGATCCAGAATGAGTTGCCTTGAACCCGGATATTTTGGCCAGGTGATGTGCACATTAATTACAATCTTTTTAATGGTGTTCTTTTTGATAAGTCACAAAGTCATAAAGCATCTTATTTTTTCTCTGTTTATTATTTCTASTGCAAACCAGTTTGTTACCACACAGGGAGCCCATGCATATTTCCAAAAATGCAAACAAGCTACAATGTTTGATATATATATTGTGTACTCTTAAAATAAATAGCTTATCATGATACTTTGCAGCACATATAACACAGCACATGTAATGTTCAATACTAAGTAATACATGTAATTTATTTCAGCAAAATACTTACATAAATTTGGTCATGATAATAACGAGTGTAGAGATTATGAAGCATCCCAGCCTCATTGAGGTCACCAAGCTGGATCTACAGGGGGGTGTGGGAGAGAAGGYTTAATTTTAACATTCATTTTAACATCAGTCAATGTTGTTTTTGCATATGGAACAGGAAGCAAAAAAAAAAGCCACAAAAAACTTTGACAAATTAGATAATGATAATTATGCCAATGATGATATCTAACTTGGGTTTACTTACCATGTCATCAACACCGCCAACACTTGATGGATGCATTACTTTCAGTTTTTTATGCATAGATGCTTTGATCCAGTGCTCCTATTAAAAGTAAATAATAAATATTATTTATCATATAATTATCTATGAAACCTATATTTCTCCATTTCGTAAACTTGACATTTTCACTTTTCACTGGTGAAAATAGCACATTCGAGGTTTCTCTATATAGTGGAAGTAAGAAAAAAGCTATTTTACGACATAATTTGCTTTCATATACAATTATATGATAAATAGAATATTACGTGTTCACATGGAGATACAAATTTTATCTCCTCATGTTGAAAATTTCTCGCTACCCTCACTTGTTAGAGATCTTTTCAACAATCAAAGATAAAATCTTTACCTCTGCGCGCCCATGTAATATCCTCTATCTAAGCAATGCTTTAGGACAATTATCACACAATAGCTTTAAGAGTAATATCAAGAATTGTAAAACAAGTTCATTTGTAAATAAAAATAATTAAATAGTATATAATTGTTCAAATTTATATATAGTTGATTTAAATCAATATTTAGAATGAAGACTGTGTAAGATCCAATTTCAGATTGTTAATGTTTATCTTGAGTTCATATTCTATTAAATGCTTTTTCTAAATGTATGTTTACAAATTACCAAGAAATGACTTTTCAAAATACCTATAATTATATTTTAAATATATAGTGGATTTCAAATTATAGGTGGTCTTTTGAAAGGTAAGTTCTTGGTAATTTTTTGGTCCATGCCACTTAACTTACAGAAATCCTCTAACTAATTCTTTATATGAGTTTTATTTTTCTTACTTTTTGTTTCATTTTTCAGAAATTGCTCAAATACATTCATGCACCTAGAGTTTGCAAGTAATGCAAGAGCAGGTAACCCAATCTAATCTTGGACTGAAAATTGTTATTTTGTCTTATTTTCATATTCTAGCTTAGACAAAAYAATCTCATTTTACAAAAAGTGAGAAGCTTTTAGCATCTACAGCGCCCCCTTCTCCACCCCCCCCCTACTCTATATAATGGGTTAATGTAAAGGCCAGTTTACACTTGCCATTTTTGCAGAGCGATAATCTTAAATTGTATGTGTAAACACTGCAGCCCTGCCCTGTGATTGTTGCACCCAGTTTTCAAGCATGCTCAAAACTCAGGCAATGTTGGGCAACGATCGCCGTGAGGATAGCTCTGCAAATATCGCAAGTGTTCACAAACAGGCCTTAAATGAACTTACTTTGCCYTCATCATCAACTACTTGTATTTGACCTGTGTCAGCCATTTTAACAAGTCCTCCAATAGGTACATCAAACTCTCCTCCTGATGTGAGATCCAGCCACACATGCTCCCCCTGAATACGGGAACAAGAATCCCCAGTTACTATTATATTAAGTGAAGATAGGGATAGTGTATTGATATGGGAATTAGAGGTTTTGACAGAAACAATGCTAAATATTTATAAGATAAATGTACTATGTAATTGTCTGAGTTTCTGAAAGACACATCATTCATTTGGAGAGCAGGTTAGCCATATTGTTAATAAAGGCTTCAACCTATCATTTCTTGTGGTCTGGGGCTGTGGGGCTATAGGATTGAGTGTTAAATGTGTAAGCTGGTATTAGGATTKTCCTCCAGGGATAATTTCAGAGTTATCAAATACTCATCTCGGCGAGCCAAGGCATAATCGCAATGATAACAGAAGATTGTGCTTGAGTTCCCAAGGAAAAAATATTAAATAAACATTTATAATCTATTTTTAAAGTATCATTTAAGGGTAATATTTGCATAACATTAAATTCAAAGCAAATAAGGGTGCACAGTTCAAATTTAAAGACATTTAGCTTACAAATGGAATAATTTCAAATAATGTTTCAATTAAATGTAACTCGTGAAATTTTTCAATTTTGCAGGTTTAGAAATTAAAGAAGGAAGAGATTGTCCACAATTTAGGAAAATATTTATACTAACTTAATTATAATCCATATCCAGTTCAAAGATTTTTTAAATATACGTAGGGCATACTTTCTAACCAAACAAACACACACATTATACGCTCAAAAATTAAAAAAATAGAAAAAATTATGGAAAGACATTTCGGTGAAAATTCACACTTAGCTTAAAAGGATATAGTGATTTGTAAAATACTGTCAACTGTCAAGGAAAATAAACAAATGCAATGAGAAACATAAAATCCTGTCTATAATGTTATGCATCTATAACCTGCGATCATAATTCATTCCGAGACCGACGTTTATGTWGGAACAGTATTGGCATAATTTTTTCAGCATAATGTCATTAATTACTTGCCCAAATACGTCGAAAATYGGACCCAAAATTTTTTTGACGTGGTATCATTACTGATGAAAGAATGTCGTTTACACTTCCGAGAAAGCGCGAAATCAGTTTTGAACAAAAAAGCATTTCGACGACTCGAGCTCTTGAAGCCGGTCTGATATAACAATCGCTCGAGACAAACTCATTCTGAATCGATGACAAACTTACTTTAGTAACAATTACCATCTTGAAATACACAGTGCGAATGWTCCGGGATAATTCAACTGCAAAGGAATAAAATGAAAGGCTATGGCTTAAATGTTGTCAAATGATTTTATAAGACTAGGTAATTTCTGATACACTATTTTTATAGGCAAAATAACGTATTACTTCAAACCGCTTCGATTTGAGTATGAATAAGTTATAAACACCCCCTATATAAATGTAATTCTACAAACTTACCATTTGATCTGGTAGAATATCAGTACTYTTTTTAGAATTTTTTGAAATAGCACAAAAATATAGCATACCTTCAAGTTCCCAGGCTGTGTAGATGCGCCCGTAGTGATATTTTCATTCAAGCATGGCGTCGCTATCGAATACTTTCCAATCGCGATAATATTACAATAAAATCAGGAGCCACTCATACTTCCCYTGACTCTGACTTACTTTCAAATACAAAATTAATATTCGAGGGACTCTTTYTAGGCATCGAGCCGTTCTTGTTTTCAAACAAACCCTCGGAAAAGTTTCAAAGTACTGAGCACGGTGACGAGGCTATATGTGACAGTTGTCCTTWCTTATGGGGGTAGAGTCGGGCAGTTTTGATAACTATMATGTCAAAAATGAGATGGTGCGGAAAGAGATTTATTGAAAGCACTTGACTTCAACCTTATTAAGCTAAGCAATTAGATGAATAAATATGTCAAGTCTATATTTCGTCAAATCTGTTGAAAAGTTTGACTTGCTTTTGTATTCTAACCTGAAAGCAAGCCAGGGGACTCATTAATTTTTCATGAATTCCGAAAAGTACTTTGTGATAATTGAAACAATGGGTAGAAATAAAGCCTTTCAAGAACTCATTGATCCGATTTGAATGAATTCACATTAATAAAGAGGGCGCTGTCATACTGTCACGCTTGATAACTCCGTACAGTCGAAAACGAAGATTATGGAGGTACAAAACTGTTTAAAGTAAGCTTTATCAGCAAGACAAGACTCATATTTTTTTGAATTCCTTAAGTAAATCGATTAGTAATCGATATTCACGACTTAGTTAGAATTTTTTGATATCTTGTACGCTAGTTTGTTCGAGGAATTTTTCTGAGTACGGCGTGCACACCAACTAGAACTTACTCTATGACGTCACGACCGTTTTTTGAATGTCGATGTTTTATTCATGACTGGCAGAGGGATATACCAAAGCTTTRAAATCTGACATTTATAATCTTCTTGTAATACCAATGCTCTTACTATTTGTGTTCGACTTTACACTGCCTTTCGGTTTCTTTATTTAGAGATAGAAACTAGTGATTTATATGATTTTCAACCGATTTTAGTAACTTTTTTTTTACTGTAAATTGACGTGACATCCGTCACTAGACGTATTTGGCTGCGAAATCGATGTTTATGAAACATAAAATATAYATAAAGCATTTCTCCTGATTTATCAAAAATGCGAATTTTAGAACTGGTCGAATGTATTTTATTCTAAATATAAAATATTGTAAATAAAAAGCATAGAATACCTATGAAAACCACGAAACAGGTCCATATATGCATGGTGAATGTTGACGATCAATCTTTTGATTGTATTGGCACTTGAAATGACACTCTTTGCTTCCTAGGGTCCAGTCTGAAGGCCTCTATACATAGTTAGAGTGRACACACTAAATCCGTGAAACATTCATTTACTAATTAATACTAAATAGAAATGAGTGGACAATATGACAAAGAAAGTTTCTATTATAGTGTAGGGCTTTAATAAACACAATGGTAGAATAAAGAAACACATATAAATATGGGACTAATACTCAACAATCACAGTCTTAAGCAGTGATTTTCGTTCATGAATATGTATTTTGATTGTTACATATTTGAGGGATTTATTCAGGACTTTGTCTCATCGGTATGCATTCATCTGCCCTTTAAGATACTGCTCATCATATTTCACGGGTTCAATCAATGTCTTACTTCTCAGTACCGAACTCTACCGATCTTATA